TTAAGCTCCGTCTCCGTATAGTTTTGCCGGCGCCGGGGCTCCGTCCCCCCCCCACCCCGTACCCCGGGGAGGCAGAGCCCTGCCTGCCTGAGGTATGTGCTGGGTAAACAGGCGTCCCATTAGGTCAGCGCTGGAGTTAACCACCACCCCACCCCCCCCAAAAAAAAAAAAAACCCTCAACCTTGTTTTCCGAGCGCTAAAACATCTTTTCTTCCAGGGAAGGATGGAGAGGGGATGGTGCCTGCAGCGCTGGGGGGAGACGCGCCAGCCCCCGGCTCGGGGGTGTTTTGACAGGATGAGGTCCCTTTTTGGGGCTGCGTCCGTCATTCGGACGGAGGGTTTTAATCCCATGGGACGGCAGGAATGACATCCTTCCGAAATTGGGGGGGATGGACGGATGGACGGAAAAAACCCAACCCCAAAGCCTCCGTGGGGGAGGTCACCCTTTGAAATCTCTTTCCCGAACGCGTCCCCGGCTCTGCGCCGCGACTTTGTTCCTACGGGGCTCTTCCCGCACAAAGACCCGATTGTCTCCCGGTTTTTGAGGGAAGCTTTGTCGCAGGACCTCGATGAGACATCCACATGGCATCGGCTACGGAGGGGAGGGGAAAATGGGAATCAATCTGAGGCCGGCAAGCCCGGACAGGCTCTCTCCTTAACGCGCCGTAATTGTTTGTTTCGTTACACCCATGACATCACGTCAGAAAATAATTATATTGTGAAATTTCCTTCTCTAAACTCGAGCTGGGACGGACTTTAAATACCCTCCCGGCTTCCTTGGCTGACCTCTCTCCTCACCATAAGGGAGAGGGGGGGGCGGTGGGTTGCTGGAGAAATTACACACAAATCCCACGGGATTTCGGGGTCTGCTTGGGAAAAAGGAACGATCCCGATAAACAGCCCGTGGTATTGCAGCCCGGCTCCGTCCCGGAGAGCTCACGCCCCACACCAAGCTGCCGTGGGTCTGGGGCTCTGTGGAGCAGCCCTCCTCCTTCTCCTCCTTCTCCTCCTTCTCCTCCTTCTCCTCCTTCTCCTCCTTCTCCTCCTTCTCCTCCTTCTCCTCCTTCTCCTCCTTCTCCTCCTTCTCCTCCTTCTCCTCCTTCTCCTCCTTCTCCTCCTTCTCCTCCTTCTCCTCCTTCTCCTCCTTCTCCTCCTTCTCCTCCTTCTCCTCCTTCTCCTCCTTCTCCTCCTTCTCCTCCTTCTCCTCCTTCTCCTCCTTCTCCTCCTTCTCCTCCTTCTCCTCCTTCTCCTCCTTCTCCTCCTTCTCCTCCTTCTCCTCCTTCTCCTCCTTCTCCTCCTTCTCCTCCTTCTCCTCCTTCTCCTCCTTCTCCTCCTTCTCCTCCTTCTCCTCCTTCTCCTCCTTCTCCTCCTTCTCCTCCTTCTCCTCCTTCTCCTCCTTCTCCTCCTTCTCCTCCTTCTCCTCCTTCTCCTCCTTCTCCTCCTTCTCCTCCTTCTCCTCCTTCTCCTCCTTCTCCTCCTTCTCCTCCTTCTCCTCCTTCTCCTCCTTCTCCTCCTTCTCCTCCTTCTCCTCCTTCTCCTCCTTCTCCTCCTTCTCCTCCTTCTCCTCCTTCTCCTCCTTCTCCTCCTTCTCCTCCTTCTCCTCCTTCTCCTCCTTCTCCTCCTTCTCCTCCTTCTCCTCCTTCGTGACTCCTCTTGGAAGAGTCTCCTCGCCCAACTCCGCACCGTCTCGCCAGCCCCTAATCTTCCTTTTTCTTTTTATCTGTGCCGCCTCCTCGCTCGCGCAGCGTTGGCCTTTATCGCCCCTCCGCAGGAGCTGCGTCCCGGTCCCCGGGGAGGATGTAGGGGGGGTTCAGCGTGGCTCTTTGCAGAGCATCGGCTCTCGGGGCGCTTGGTTCCCGTTCCGGAGAGGTTCCCACCGCCCGGCCATCTCCCCATCCCACCGCGGGACGTTCTAGGTTCGATGCCGTTGAGCCATACGGGCGCACAAATTTCCCCTTCTCTGCCGAGGGGTGTTTGCAGCCGGGGCAAAAAAAGCATCCGCTCTCCATTGCGGTGGACGAGGGGAATGCAGAGGTTCAGGTGGGGTGAGCAATGCCCGTGGGGATTTCCCCCGTGTCCTGGGTGCGCTCCTCCTCCTCTTCCTCCTCCTCCTCCTCCTCCTTCTCTTCCTCCTCCTCCTCCTCCTCCTCACCAAAACCGGGAGAAGGAGGCGTGTTCGTAGACTCTCGCCGCACCGGTTTTGCTTGGTTTGTTGTTGCGGGGTTTGATTCGCAGGGTGGTATATTTTTTT